CGAGTTTTCATAAGTTCTATAAAGTCACTATGCCTTCGAAGGTAAAAATTATGTGGGTAACTATGTCTGGTATGGTAATTTGAACAAGTTCCTTTGTGTAAGGTACCAACAGGAATTTCAAGAAAGCATGAGGGCATATGTGAGCTGGTAAATCCCTTATTTGCTGTTCCGTTGAGAGGAGTGATGTCTGTAGGAGGCATTCCGTTTTGCTCGTGATTGTTCAAGTGTACTAAAGCATCGTCAGACCAAGAGAGATTTTTACTTTTCGTTGGTTTGGAATTCTCTGCTCGGATGATATTAGGTGATGTTGGATGAGAATTGCGGTGGTAGACGCCATTGCCTAAATCTCTGTCCTTGGTGTGTTGGGTATCCCCCATCGTAATGCGCTGAAGGAAATAAATCAGAGACATTTGAAGGCAGAATTAATAGTGATAATAACTAATATATTTTGCATTACACAGAGTCTCAATGSTTTACAATCATTAGTTAAAAAGAAATTAAAAAGTAACGTTTACCAAATATTGGAAATAGTATAATAAAGAATGATAAAAAAATCAATATAAATGAATACGATARATAAAAAAATWAGATACCTTAGACAGTTAGGTAGYTCTTAAGTATTTAAATGTWAGGAGTGAATCTAGAGATAAAAACCGTATCTTGCGCACCCATCTGACATTCTCCTATTTCATAAATTATTCTTAAATTGTTGTAAATAAATAAACGATGTTCCACTGACTCAAAGTCGTTTAATAGTAAGTATAGGGGGGTCGAAATTAATGCTATTAGGCTCACAAGGGTGCTAATTGATCAAAACCCACATTGTTATTAATTGACCCTGCCTAATCTTTAAGAAATATAAAACGGCGTGCGTGTCTTTGTCCTCTTATATAAACACGGTGGGAGTTCGAAAAACACGAGAGAAGCAAGCTTAGGAACACGAGCGTAGCAAGTGTTTCTCTTGCTTCTCAAGTGTTTTTCAACTCCCACCGTGTTTATATCAGAGGACAGGAGAGACACAAGCGGCCGTTTTATATTTCTTTTATAAAATTTTTCGAGCGAAAAGAAAATTTTGACGGTAAGCCGTGTCTCTGTCCTCTGATATAAACACGGTCGTCAGCCAATCAGAGCGCGCGTTATATATCGAAAATTTTATAATAATTCATAATCGTTTGAGGAATTTATCCGTTATAGTTATTCAGGAATACTTCAAAGTTAAGCTTTAATCGATCATCTATTGTCTTTGATAGGACTATAAGATTCGACTGAAATTTGATTCTTGATTATATAGTATTCTTCTTATATTTTATAAGTTAATATTTTGTTTATTACTATTATTATTTATTATTATTATATTATTATTATTATTATTTATTATTATTATTATTATTATTATTATTGTTATTATTATTATTGTCTTTTGTCACGAGCGTGACGCAATTGTTCTCATATTTCATTTGTAATCGAGATCGATCATCTGTTTCGATGCAACGTTTTTTTACTAAAGCTCTATCCAGTTGCTCACAAAAAAATTCAATTCTCCTGAATAAAATTAAACTCTTTTGTTTTAACTGCACTGAATATAATGGAACATCCTCACAGAATTCTTTAAACCTACTGGACATTTACATAGTAAAAGTTTTGTCAAAGTCATTATTTTTTTAATTTCCATGACTAGACGTTGAAATATGGTGAAGTTWAAGATGGTGACATTTTGTCTAAATTAATAAATGCAACTGCGATRAACTGTGTCCGAGAAACGTTCTGTTAAAATTATGTTTTCATATAWAGAAGATCGGACTTATTTAAGTTATAGTTAAATAGGAGAAATGTGGTGTAGTTTAAGATGGCGACATTTTGTCTAAATTAATAAATTCACCTGCATGCGATAAACTGTGTCCAAGAAACGTTCTGTTAAAATTATATTTTCATATATAGAAGATCGGACTTATTTAAGTTATAGTTAAATAGGAGAAATATGGTGAACTGTTTAAGATGGTGACATTTTGTCTAAATTAATAAATACACCTGCGATAAACTGTGTCCAAGAAACGTTCTGTTAAAATTATATTTTCATATATAGAAGATCGGACTAATTTAAGTTATAGTTAAATAAGAGAAAAAGGGAATACGATGTGGCATTTGTTTATATGTTCAACAGAATTATTTAGAAACATTGTTATATACCACGACAGTTCCTTATATAAGTCATAAAATAAAATATAATAAACATATATTATTTGACAGCATTTCTTTCGATTTAAATTTCTACTTTAATCCCTTATCGAAAACGATTCTAAAAACTTTAAACTTACGTTTCAGTTGACGAAATATGCAGTAGATTTGTTCCTTGTTAGTTTCTGCGCCTCGAGAGGTGCCTTCGTTTCTCCCATTGACAATTGGCCTGTGAATATAACACTCTCGATTAAGGAACGTCTAACAGCCGGCTCCCCAGCTCTATAGAGGGTTTTTTTTGTGTATAATTAGTATACGTGATGTGTTTATGTGCGTAGACGTATTTTGACAGATCTTTAAATGTCTTCCCCTTGTTCGACACGGGGACAACGCTGTTCAGTGGATTAAAAGAATGACGCTCTGCGGTGTAACTATAATCAATAGGCAAAAATACTACAAAAGAAAAAAAATACAAAAAAGAAAGGAAAAAAAATACAAAAGAAGAAAAAACCGGTTTTGTTGCATCATTACGCATGAGCGCTAAAAGCGAAAAAAATATACTCAACTTACATCCATTTTGCCCAGACGTTGTTGAGTAAATTTTACAAAAMGTAGTTAACTTTCATGCATTTTTTATTATTTATTAACAGCATTCACGATATTACCATGCACACATCCAATGAACATCCAGAATTTCTAGATTTGTTATTTGTCATCCTGAGAATTTCTAGATCAGTTTGTCATTCGGTTAACAATACCTTGAGTCGCGAGACGTACGTGCGGGTCTATAACTTTTATATTAGCCAAGCTATTTGCTGTTGCGTCGTTGTTRGTCCACGGCAGCTTTAATGTGTCCGTCGTTATTATATTAACGAGTACAGAGTAGCATTGTGTGGTCTTTGTCAATGTTTTTAATTAATAATAGATGAATGACGGCCGTGTATTGACTGTATTGTCACTCCACACAGCGCTGAGATATCTATGCATATCTGACGCTTGATAATTAATTATATGACAATGTCTTCATATAGAAAYTCATCGTGAATGGCAGGTCATGTCTAAGGGGGGAGGAGAGGGTAAGAAATTAGGGGACTATTTTTTACTATCAAAGCAAAAATACAACTTCCTACGCAACTGATTAAACCGGAAAACTCGGTCTTTTGATTACACGATGAGTAATTGAAACATAATTGATATTTAATTTAAACTTCGATATTGTTTTTATATCAGAAAGGAACAGTTAATATGCGGACCTCTTTCCCGTTATGTAATCGGCGTAGATTAAACATAACGTTTTCTAGAAATCCTGGTAAGTTTTCTCGCCCATTTCGCTCACCGACAAATAGTTGAGACATCTTTCGTCAGTGAACATGTATGYAGACAAATAAAATTAAATTTTTTTATGTAAGGACTGATAAAAAGATGCTACTTTTTACCTTAGTGTTCTTAATAATTAATTACAAAATGAAACCGCAACTCACGAATATACTGGAATAAACTGATCCGTATTTATTCTGTACCACAATTACCGGCTCTTACGTGGGATTTTAATCTTAGGAGACTACGAAATTCGAAAAAGAGAAGGCAATAAAAGCTGTTTATATACACACTGCACCAACTACTTTTCAAAAGTCTTAAATCATACTTTATACGGATAATGATCTCGATATTCCCTTGGGATATATGTTTTTACCCAAAACTATTCAGCGAAATGAATATACTGTAGTTATAGATATGACCATATCTGAAGTAATTATTGAATATATATTGCGCAGTTAGTTTTTATCTCCGAAAATGTTACATTAGCGAAGCTATGACCCAATGGGATCAAGGGAATTAGTCCAATATCGTGTGTATAATCACGATTCCTCTACGAAATGTTTAGACAAATATGAGTCTAATTTCGGGGTACCCAAACTATCTTTCGGTCTTAGATTCAATGACGTCACCTGTGTAAGCCAGACAATGTTTTTTCAACTCGGCGTATGTAACTCTTTCAAAAAAAAGTTGTCACAGCGAAACTGCGATTTTACGACCGAAAGGTAATGTGGGTATTTGGTTTTCGATGTAAAATACTCACTTAGCTACTTACAAACCAAGCCAGTCACAATAAAAAWWMWTTATTTGATGGAAACGATATTCTCATGTGAATATTGTCATCAATAATCCATACCCGCAGTAAYTTTCGYTCGTGGATTCGCTCGTYGCTATGACAAYYTTTTATGCATRACAAGWGTGACGTAATTCAAGGAAACTGTGTAGCCTATCTATAGAAGTGAGAATAGCCGCTTTAATTGCCTCTTGAAAGCTTTGCGGGTAGACACTTCAAACTCTTCACTCTATGAATGATTCAATAACTGAGGGTTATATTTCTTGCCTTTCAAAATAGAGCTGTGAATCTTATTTCAATCATTTTCTCTATGATTCTATATATAACTTCACGCCTATTTATTGAAGTATAGTTCTGCCTGCACGAAAAGAATAAAATCAATGAAATAAAGAGACCGAATCACAAACGTCGAATTTCACATGAGGCGATTTAAATGTAAGTGAGATGGGGAGCGACTGGAAAAYATCGCGCGCTTTAAAGGTTATAAATTTGATGTAAATATGTTGCAAGTGTCCAAAATTCTGTAAATTTGATGTAAATGATTTCCATTAAATTTACAGAATTTTGGACACTTACCTCATATTTACATCAAATTTACAACCTTTAAAGCGCGCGATTTTTTCCAGATAATAGGAAAGACTTCTATTTTTACTCGCGAGTGGAACTCAAAAGAGAAATATTTGAAATAAATTGCGCACAAGTTATCAATTGTGAAGTTTAACGACTTTTGGTTTTGTAAATTATTTTAAGCGACTCCGCTATAACTGGCGAAAGATGGGAAGTATATTTAAATATCTCGTACCGTTTTTCTGTCAGTGCTACTCTCCAAATAACTGAATAAGTAAATTTCCTCCAATTAAATAACATTACCCTGTTTTGGTTGCAATTTTCACTAAATTGAAGAGTTTTCTGTTCAAGCTGATAGAGCTCGACCAAACATGGTAGCCTCTAGACCTTTTCTCGTTAGGAAATTGCCATGAACCGCTGTCGTTAATGCGCCTAAAGCTTCACAATAAACGCTCAACCAAAATTAGAAACAAATTGTTTTTAAACTGCAAAATAATAAATAGATAATAKATTTTGTCTTAGTTGACAACTTTTTAGGATCAATTTGACATTTGTGGTGAATTTTCATGACAGCAAATTCGATTGGTGAACCAAATTGTCTAAAATGTTTTCGAGGCTAATTATGTGGACAAATTCGTCCATAATTGGTCTTCGTCTTGATGGAAAAGATATTTGTTCGCGAATACAAATTAGATTTTCGACAGACCTGGTGTCATGTTGTAAACATATTGACACACGTAAGGGATTTCTACCGTTATAATTATCAGTTCTATATAACATGAAACTCTAAAGGAAGTTCAAATGATTTACAGTGCAATGTTGATATACTATTTATCGACACATATTCCTGAATATGGTTAGACAGTAGCTTTAGCCTCGACTGCATGTGTTAATTACTGTGGCCCAACTGGACACATTGTATTTAACAAGTAAAAACCGTTCCAAAAACGTCATCAAGTTTTAAAAGTAAATTTGTAAAAGAAAATCATTTTTTTAAAAAACACTTCAGTTTTTCGTGGCCTTCATAAAAATGTAAAATCTTGCTTAAGGAAGTACTTGCTTCGATAGGCAGTGGTTGTTACTACAGTAAAGAAAAAAGGCCCACACTTAAATTTAAACAGTTTTCCATTGAGCTGAAGTGTTTTCCTTGAATAATATAGGTACCACTAATATATCTCCCCGGGGTCGATAGTCGCTTTTCCTTAATAGCAAATTCCAGTGTCCTCAGTCGTGTAGCGTAGCAATTATTGGATCGTTTTATTTTTCGTATTTAATACCTCTTAAATTTGACAAAAATGATGAATTTGCCAAAAAGTATAGTCAACACTTGTGCTTTTTTTTCTTCTTGTACCAAGAGAGGTACTAATTTTATCTCGTGGCCTTAAGGGAATATCATTAATTTGCCAAAATGTCTAATGAACATTAACTTTTTTTTAAGTCGCTGCTAATGTTATCACGTCCTGACCTGCATGCATCTTGTAATGTTGGGCATTTTTAATGCTATATATTTTATTATGTTTTTCCACATCCAAGATTACCAAGCATAATCAATAAATAAGCAAATAAATAGCAAGTCAAATTGCTATAGAATCTTCTCAGTTTTTTTCTATACTTTCTATAATAACAAAAAAGTAAAAACTCCAGCAATGAAGCAATAAATAACAAGTGAACTTGTTATAAAATCTTCCCATTTGCTTTTTATTTCTTTTGTTTAACAGCATGTTGCCAACAAAAGTGAAATGAAACTAAAGACTGATGTTTATATCTAATATACCCAATATCTATACCATTAATTTAAAGATTTTTATCTTTGTTTTTATTAATAAAACGTCTCCCCACTTTTTCCCTTAGGATTATCAGAAAGAGTAAAAATGCAAAATTTTTCAAATTGAAATGAAATAAAATGTGGGTATTAAAATTCTCCGTTTATCTTAATTACCTTATGCATGAGCCTAATTTGTCACTGTTGTTCAAGATGTTTCTAGACTTTAACGGGTTTTCTCTCTTGATCTGAGGGAAAAAAACAGCAATTGAAACTTGACATCAACAGGGAATTCGTTTTTTGTAAGTTTGCGGTTTTTTTGTTTTCTTTTCAATAGTTAATATGCACAACTCACAAGTACAGTTTTAGCAAAAAAGCGTAAGTTTCTTTTCTTGACCCTCAATAAGAATTCAATGTGGCTTTAGCTTTTTTGGCGATCCAAGCATATAAAACATCTTTCTTGGAAAGCATTCTTTACTCGTCATATCTTATGACATCTATGACGTAATGACGTGGTTACGTAAGCACTACTTTTGCTCAGCATTGTGGTTATAGGTGGAACTTTTAAGGCCTGTTTACACTTGCGAATTTAGCAGAGCGATTTTTGCGGAGATCGTCGCGCGACCATCGCCTTAGTTTCGAACATGCTTGAAAAGTCTTGGCTGCGACTTCACTGCGATTTTCCATCGCGGCAACAATCGCAGGGCTGTTTACACGTACGATTTTAATTTGCGCGATAGCAAAGTGGCGATTATCGCGCGACAATCGCACTGCAAAAATCGCAAGTTTAAACGGGCCTTTATGTTGCAATATTGACGATTATAACAATGTTGAATAGTCGATTAAGACAACTAAGAACGTGAACTTCTTCCAATACAGTTTACTTTAGTTGTCTTTCCGTAAATATAGGTATACTGGCGTTTTTTTTAAAAAGTTGTTACTTGTTTAATTATCAGTTTATGATGCATTATTTGCTATAATCGCTGCCAGCCAAAATTATAGTTGGATCTAGTTTTCAACACTSTCAAAACGTCCCCGGCCTCCTTAAAGAACAACACTAAGTTAAAATGTGWAATGACAAGAATTTAAGCCTAATAGCACCTCACAAGCATATCTGACCACATTGTCTCAATGGAAGCCTGAATAATACATATTTGCGTGAATTTACCGTGCTGGTTTTTTCTTGGGAAAAAAAAAGATATTGAACTTAACAACAACTTTGGCACTTGTTGCAGAAGTTTCTCGAGACCCTGAGTAGCTAGTTTTAATTTAATGAATAATACATATTTGCGTGAATATACCGTGCTGTTTTTTTTTTGTGAAAAAAAAAAAAAATAGTAACTATAAGATATTGAACTTAACAACAACTTTGGCACTTGTTGCAGAAGTTTCCAGAGCCCYTCAGTAGCTAGTTTTAAATTAATGAAATATGGTATGATTATGAAAAGATAAATATGAAAAACGCGTGAGATTTCTGCGTATCTCGTGACATTCTCAAATAGTTAACGAGGAGAATCTCCATCTCTATAATCCTGATGTAAGTAACAAGATTAACAGTTCCGTAAAACGACTATGAACGTAATTAAAGAGCGTAATTTGCATGTAATTAGCCAGAAGTGAAACCAGGATGTTTTCATTAWGGGATAGATACTTGAAATTTGGCAGCAGGACGTTATGTTACACAACGAAAAAATTGCCAAACGTTAGGACCGCTACGGTCAGGAAAAACGTTACGTTACACAACTGTGTTGAAACTTACGTTCTGGATTTCGTAACGTAAGAAACACTAGGTCCTGAAAGACCGTTGCGTCCCTGTATGGCAACATATACTGAACTGCGTATTTGCCTAATGTTGGGAGACCTACATCCACGAAAAACGTTACGTCMTTGATTAGCAGCAATTGCGTAACGTAAGTAACGCTACGTCCACTTAAAACGTTGCGTCCATTGATGGCAACAACTGCTGAGTTTTTGAAAAATGTTACATCCGTTATCAGCAACACTTGCATAACGTAAGGAACACAAAGTCCCTTAATGGCAACAATGTTAAACTGCGTATTTACCTAACGTAAGGAACGATGACTAACGTAAGGAACGATACGTAACCGACTAAAGCGTTAGCTCCAAAAACATCAAAAATGGTCGCACCATTGAAAGAAACATCGCATCAGGAACTACAAAATCATGCCGAAGCAATTAAAAGCATCCTGTAAAGAAAAGTTTGATTTTTCCAAACTATTTTAAAGGAAGTCTTTACATGAAAAGCAAGACCTATATTAATAGCAATGACTCATTGGAAAAAGATGGTATCATAAGTTTTTGATGTTGGCATTTTTCATGCAATGCTTGTTTCAAAAAACTTGGCGATTGATCGCTTTTATACAGTTTTGGGCCGGGTTGTTGATTCAATGGACTAGTTTTCTATCTCAAAATCAGACAAACGCCTACAAAGTGAGAGAGAATCTCCCCTYACGACTATGCAAATTAAAAGTAGAAAAATCACTTTTTCTTGTATTTCAATAACTAGAAACAACATGGGTTGATGCTTCTACAGAACCTCTCTACATTGATGACATTGTACTGTCATCTAGCTTCCACAGGAACACTACAGCCAGACTAAGGCTTTCACATAGCTTAATTGATATGTACAATTGATTTTGACAATGCTAACTGTAGTACAACATGAGAACGTATGAAAGAACATTTATCGAAATTGTGTGAGAAGAATAGATATAATATTCCGTTGTTTACTTAATACAGATGCAGGTTTGCATTCACATTTAAAAAAGAATGAATAATTTTCAAAGTTTAATGGTACATTTTCATTTTTACCTTTAACTTTCAGTCAATTTAATGTGAATTTTGAGTTGGCAGTTGATTTTTGAAAGTTGTCGCTTTTGGTACGAAGTAGAATGCAAAAAAACAAAAATCATAACTGGTAAAAATGCAAATCCTTATCATACAAAAAACAAAAAGCTCGGAAGGTATTAGAATAATATAGAGGCCAATTCCTTTTTACTGAGAAAAATAGAAAAAAAATGTTGACATTGAACATTTTTTGACTCAAAAATATCAAATGTGCAAGATTTGAATTTTAGATAGTTCCGTTTAAAAATGAAGAATTAAAAGAAAACAGTACAGTGCTTACCCGAAAATGTCGATAATGCAACCAAAATGTTTAGGTGTAAAAATAAAACGATGTTATCATGAAAGTAGAATAAAAAGGTCAGCATATATAATTTGAATAATAATTATTCTTTGTGTATCAAGTGAAAGGGAGTGAAAGCCATATCCTTTTACGTCCAAATGGACGATAATGAAACAAACTTGAACCAGTGCGACATGTTAAAATACCTTAAATCAACACCGCTTTCTTCAAATGCATTCAGCACAATTTCCAATGTTTGCTTTGTATGATTACAAAAGTAYGGCAYCTTGAATKTGGTTTTATTTTGACTAATTCTGTCTATTTAAGTGGTGGTTTGGACGAGAATCGCCACCAAAATCAATACATTTGATATCACAAAGACACCGATTTGATTTGATATGACTAACGTATGATCCAGCAAACACGACCGAGCGATTTTTGTACTTATGTCGGATCAGCTACGCCGTGAATTCTTAAGTCTTGTGGCGGTTATGAATGAAAACAACCCAGTTTTGGCTGATAACAGGTTTTTAGCACTTGTTATTATCGGGGTTGCAACAACTGCGACAGATGTTAGAGTCAATTCGAGWCGTGATTCTTAATTTTACACTATATATTCGTCCGAACTAATTTTTCGGGACTTTATCTTTTTTTACSGCGTCGCTCATCGCCCATTTCGACGTCATGTCAATAATCATTTATAATATAACTAAGCAATAAACGAACCCTTTTTGATTATAATGAATTCGTTTTCTTTCCGACTGCAGTTTCGTACATATAAACTATGTATATTGCTCAATCCGCGGCACAAACATCGCGTTATTTGCACAATTAATATCAGAGTAAAAACGGTGACCAACGATAAAATWGTATCAATGCTATCACAATTGAACCTTCTTCTTGAAAAAAGTGCGAAATTTTACCACTAAATATAGAACTACAGCTTTTTTCGCAAAAACAAGCATTACTCTGCAACTATATTCAAGTAACATTCAGATAGAGCTCTTTTTTAAAAACAAAACGAGTTTAGAAATATGAAACGCTGATGTTAGCGTTAGCGGTTACCCTTAATCTTCCTATTTTCTTGACTATATACAAATACACTGGCATACACACTCGATGGTATCTATGTTTGACTTTTTAAGGCTTACCTTTTCAGCGGGCGCTTTTTGGCAATATATAGAGTATCGCAGTCGACCACACAAGTTGTGGGTCTTGAACTAAAGCTTAAACAGGTGCGCCTCGCAGTTTCCTCTCCTGTTATTGATTTTCATTAATCAGCTTGTTCAGTTGGCGAAAATAAGATTTTGGCGATTTGTCAAACTGCTAATAAACCATCCACTAGCTGTGGAATTCGTCGCTTGTTGGATTTACATGAGTGACACACAATTATCGCCCTTTTACGACCGARWAGTGTATTGTTACATTGCCTCCATGTTTTTGCCCTTGGTTRGTTTTAAATTATTGTTTGTTTTTGAATGTTGACAATTTTGAACGCTATCTACGTTAATTTAAATGTGTAATTTGTAAATAAGGAACGTATTACATGAGGAAATCTCAGTCAAAACACAGTCAAAACATATATGATTAAATTTCTGAGAAAAATTACCCAGAACGCATTTTTTTTGTTTGTTTGTTAAGGTTGGGTTTAATTTCAAAAAGGGTCAAAATGCAGTTTATGGTTTCAGATTTAAGTGTTTGGCGTTAGTACCCCACAGATTGACAAGATGGAATTAACATTATAATGAAGGGAACAAACACCATTGTTTACATATGTTACCATGGCGACTGTCGCATGATTGAAAAAGCCACCTGTTAAAGACACTATGATACAAACATAAACAGATCTTAGGGGGAGGGAAGGGGAGGTKTATTTTATTATATAGGGTAGTTTTGCATGATTACTGCAACTATACATGTAATATATATTACCTTTACACACAACTCAGTATGAAGAGCTTAAAGTGTTCATTTGACTATGCTGTAATTATATCATTTGCATATAGACTAGTGTCTCGGTTTTTGCGGGCTATGTCAGATTATTATCTTTCATACGAATAGACTTGAATACACGCCGCGTAATCTACTGCTTTTAAGGAAAAATTAAACTCTCTGTACCGGAAATCCTTTAAAACTCTAGATCCGATCATAAGGAAACACTTGGACAGTATAACCCTTCCAAGAAAAATTGCATAATGATCATCTTTAAAGCGAAGCCCGAGTAAAAGCCATTAAATGAGAACGAGGATCTCGTTGCTAAAAGCAGTGCATTGGCGTTAGTCKCATGAAATGTCAAAACAGCTTCATCTGGAGGACACAGCAAAAGAGTTTTTGCTCTCTTTAGAATTTCAATCAATTATTTTGTCCTGCAGTTGGAGCAGCAAGGGGTCTATAGAAAAATAAATCAGTGTGACAGAGGAATGGCCTGAGGCCATTTTAAACGTCGATTTCTCATGTGCCGAAGTTAATGCAAGTGAAATTGTAGCACTGAACRTTGTTATTTGCTTTGAGTTCTTCTCATGTGGTGTTCGGAGTCTGAATCAAGCAGAACTTGACTAAATACATTGCATAATATTCAAAATCACTTACATGTAATCAAATCAATTGAATGGTACTTAAGTAATTCTAAATCGTCAGATTTTACATTCTCAAACATTTTTAGTACAAAATATTTAAATTTTATGTTTTGAAAGAGATCTTCTTCTGAAATTTCTTTCCAATTAAAAAATAACATTAAAGTCACAGCGAATAAGGTTCTTTATTACGCGGCRTTTTGTAAAAGTGACAGTTCTTACTTTTAAACAACAAAAAACAATAATTTCATTAAAGAATAATGAAAGAAAATAAGCTCATATGCATAAATTACCTTTTTAGACGAGTCTTGGTTGTTTGTTAATCGTTGAATAAAAACTGTGGTTGTTTTTTTACTAATTTGAATTAACCAAGTCACGTTGCGTTACGCGTTTCTTTGACACTTAACGGTTCTTGAAAGTATGAAATATATTCAAAGCAATTAGTTCCGGCCWATTATTGTCACCTAAAAGCGAAAACACCAAACCTTTGAATTGCGAATTACAGCAATTCATTTTAAAGCCCTGGACAATAACTCTATGCTATCTGCAATTTTGACAACAATGATGTTTAATATATTTTGTTATACTGTGAAAATAGCTAACCTCGTTCAGCAACATTGATGATTTTTCTAATGAAGGACTTCGTCTTTTTCGTCTTTTAATTGCGAGCTTTTAAATATTGAGCGTTTTCAATCAATTCCATGAGATTCAAAAGATAAAAGACTGGTGGTCATGTTGGATGAATGAACAATAGATACTAATGAGAAATCCTTCGTTGAAGTTCCTCCAAGATGGACATTATGCAGGGACGTATAGTACAAACGAAGAATTATGACCGTTTTAACCATACTGAAATTACAGCTGTATATTGAGATATCAGATAATATGTTGATATACTATCCGACCTCACCTAGTATATTCACTAACTAAAAGGTTTATCTGCTGGACGGTGTCCAATAATGGGATATATCGAAGAATATTCCGGATGTTACGCAGGCTAATAATTTTTGAAATTTTTGGACTTATGTAAAGTTGTAGTATAGGTCAAAAAGACCATTGTTTGTTCGTATTGCTTTCTTTCATTTTTTTTTCCCTCTCTTTTTCTGCCGTTGTCATTTTCTCTTTCCTTTTTTAGTTTTAAAAGAAAGGCCACTTAAATTGTTTTTCTTCGTTTGTGAAAAGAAAATAATTACTGTATTTTGTCAGTGCTTGTCGGCAGTGATCAAAGAAATAATGGATTTGACTAGAACTATTGATTGATTATTTTTTATTCTTTCACAGGCGAAAAACAATCTGTTAAAATAATTGACAGATAACTGTCTTTTACCCCCTTAATACCAATCTTTGAGACAGTTAAAAAAATAAAAAATATATCTGTTTATCCTTGCAGGAATACATTATTTCCTGAATTTTTGAAAGCGGAATTAAAACAATTTTCCAAGATATCAGTATGGTTACATTTTTGCGTTTTACTTCAATTGTTGGTACATGTAGAATGAACCCAAATCCATCAAAACTGTTATGAACTGATCTCAAATGATCTCCAAGATCTTTTCAGTCATCGCAWAGCTATTTCTATTTAGGATAGTCAATATTAAAAACTTTGTTATTCAATATTTGTTTTCGGACGTCCATGACAAACAGGTTTTTTTTTCAATTTACAATGGGGTGACATTATTGGAAACAATATATCGTCTTTTTGTATGTTTTGGGATAGTCACAAAAGAAATTTTTAAGCCGGCTCTTTTAAGAACGACACAGAATTCTCTATATCAGTTTTAATGATATTCATACACTGATAGGGTATAAAGTTTAACCTTGTTTTGATCGCATTCTCTTTTAAAATGCTAGCATATTGCTAAGAATAGTTATAATATGTGACAATTTTTCCGATGTTTAAGATTCGGAGTTTTGCRGCGGGTTTCRCATTTCCATWGACTAGCGATCAAAATTAAATCCAGTCCTATTCTACTGCTCCAAACTAATCCCGAAAATGGAGTTTTGGATTTRTTAATGTTTYAATTTCTTTGTTAACAAGCTGTACCATTCTGGATATTTTTTGTTATTAAATTTCTTTATGTGAAATTTAACCAGCGAAAGCCACCATATGTTATACATTTACTAACGTTCAATGGAAAATTGGTTTTAACTTAGACAAAGGAACTCCTCAGCAYGGGGCTTGAAGCTTTGCTAATTCAGATTACACTATGAAAATAGATGCCGTGATTTTTATGCTTTTTCTTGGTTTTTATTTTATTTGAATATCKCTTCTTTGAATCGCTCCACTGGTGGATCCTGACGATTAAAAAGGTGGATGGCTAATTCACAGATTTTAGAGCGGCAGATAATGACATTTTTCCAGATCAACCCTGCTTTAGCGTTTTCTTTTAGGTTTCTTTTAGTTTTTTTTTAAAGTTTGATTTAAGTTTCTTCTTTTATTCATTTATATCATAATTACCACTCTTTTGAACCTTACAAGGAGTTGGATAGGCACCCTATTCACTCCCCCCTGGATCCACACTTGGAGGTCTTATATGTACATGACTACTGTTATTGGAGTTGCTGTGGGATAGTCAATACGATGTATAATTTGCGGCCGCAAGTAACTGTGGGATATTGGATACTGACGCTTCTTGCAATGCGTGAGGCATTTTATTTATTTTTTATTTCTTTCTTGCTTTCTTTCTCTCTTGATCTCATTCTCTCATTCTCTCATTCTCTCATTCTCTCATTCTCTCATTCTTTCTCTCTGCTCTCTGAATATGAGAAGGAGCATTTCCTCAAACTCTTCTCACTTTAAAAAATATATAGCATTTTAAAATTGCTATCAAGCACTACAACACTCGAGAGGTATATCTTTTGTAGTCCTGACTTTGTTTCGAAAAATGAGAAATGACATTCTCTGAAACACCCCAAGCATCTCTTCAAYACCTCAGCCAATAATTCAGCMAATAATTGTACAAAAAAWTGTTATTTTTTATTGTATGCAAACAGTTTATGGGCGAGTGTAAAGATTTTTTACTTTTTACATGTAATTTTATATTACGACGATTTTGTAGAAAATTGCCGGGGTCTATTCTTATGAAGAACAGCGCTCCTTCRAATACGGTATTTGATCTTGGAATAAAGATCATTTTGACTATTTCTATTGAATTTAGAAACATTATTATATAAAATATGATATTTTTGAAAATTTGGCTTAAACTATTTCGAACTTGTGTCTAGGAGTGCAAATGTTTATTAAGAACCAGTTTAAACTTGATAAACTGTTTTTTTCTGGAAAACTCCTCAAAATTTAAATGCCTCATCACCAGTATGAGGCTATCCAATCACGTGTCTATCACGTGGTTTCTTATATGTCTTGTGTGTTTTCACTTGTATAAAACGTCGAATTTTATCAGTTTTGCTCTTCCTTGCGTTTGTCATGACGCAAAAAATTCGTATGTTATGTACAATCTTGTTACTTTTACGTGCGTCTGTTACGTCGTTGCGTAATCTGTAGCAGCTATATAATCCATATGGTCGTTTACAACTCTACGTTTTACGCWGTTCTTTTGCTGTGCTTKCGTATTTCATATAATTCCGAATGTTTGTGCAAGGAATTTCTTTCTCTATATGCATGATAATATTTCCTTTCACGCAGCTGTTTTAACGTGCATTTTTTATACGTAGAATYTTGCTGCGTTTCCAGCAAGAAGTAGCTTGTTTATCTGAAGCATATTTCTGTCACCTTCCATGATCCAAGGTCCAGTGACCGAGACGATATTTTCTCCATTTCATCGGCTTTCTCCAAAATGCAACAAAGCAAATTGTCAATTTTGATCATTTGTTTTCCTTGTTTAGAAAAATAAAATATTGTTTGCTTGCGATAACACTTTCACATTGGACTCCATCTTCCTGCACTTCTTCGTATTCTATCAAATGATATGACGTCATGGTAACTATGGTTCCTAATCACATGACTCGCTTCTTCCATTTTCATTTTTCCTAAAGGAATCTGACGTCACCGTTACCATGGTTTCTCATGACGTGACTTATTTCCCCGTTAGCCGTCACCGCCGTTGGAAGGCCGCCATTGGCTACAACATTGAATGGTKGACGGTGATTGTGCGCATGATCAGGGGGGTCCCTTCGAAGTGCTTTTGCTCGCCTAGGTTCTTTTTTGCGTTCTCTTCGTGGCGAGGAAGTTCTATAAAGAGGTTGTAACTCTGCAGTGTTATTGGACAGTACGACTGCAGGCAGTGGACTGCTCTTAAGAGGAACGAATCCAAAGTATTTAAGAAACGCCACGGCGGGAATGAAGAAAATCGACGACATAGTGAGCATTATAGCGATAAACACTCCCCAAGCTGGCAACGGCGTCAATATAGATTTCCGCTGCGAAAGAAATGAATATTCATTGAATTAGATACATAAGCACTTCTAGTCGACTGTTAAAGGGTTGTTTGATTCATGCATCTATCATAATCATAATTATTGACAAAAAGACACTTACAACCTTCAACACACGCTCTTCCTTGGTTGCCCTCCCAACCCAACTAAATCCCTTATAAAATTTCATACAGTCTCAGGCTGTGGTCATCATGGCTCGCGCAAGGGGGGGGTTGCACATCTATAAATTGTGATTTGGTCTGTCTCCTCTCTTTTTGAATTATGCAGGTTTATGAATACCGCATATGTAGTTTATCAGGATTATCACCAACCTCCCCCTTTCCCCGCCCCCGGCACGCCCTTGAATCCGCCCCTCTCTTGACCTCGAATGATCAGTTGCGTGACCAACACCGTGACAGCTTTGTTGCCTTTTTCTATTCATCSAAATTAATTATTGATTAATAGCATTACAAAGGCATCAACTCTCACCTTTTCAGCGTCCCAAATACTGTASGACGGAGTYGCTTCTGACATYGATTTTATACTCATACTAAGGACAGTTAAGATAGCCAACGGTGAGATCACTTTCCAGCACCATTTCCAGATAAACCGAGGTGGCTTGTTGGTCATGTACTGAATGTCTTCGCTGAACCTGAAATRYCAGACAGAACGGCGGATTAAGTCATTTTGTTGATAAGAAAAGGAATTACCTTTAAAATTGCAATGACGAAAGTAGTTGTGGCAATAGTTCTCATTATCACAAGGCTGCCATTTTGAATCGGTTTGCAATGTATACTGGGATATCAATCTCCCAGTCTTTGTCAAAACAAGTCGCTAAAATTGTAAAAATAMTAAGTAGTTTCGTTGTTTCCTAAGACAAGATATGTTTGTTTTCCTTTCCGATCGATTTGGCTAGTAAATGAAAATTCTCCGCCGACGACACTGGAAGTCTTTCTTGTTGTACTTGTTGGGCGGTATTTGTCTATGATCCGTAAGCTTGTGAGATCGTCTACGGTATCCGCATTTCCCGCAATTTGTCCAAGAACTATCCCGCGGTACAGATGACGGTAGCGCTGCTATCTTAGCCCAGTTGTTTACTCACTTATCCATCCCTAAAAGCATTGCGACACAACGTCTTCCGCGTGTTGTAAAAGAACTATGGCGGTGTTTGTAAGTAAAGTTTATCTATTTATCACTTCAAAGTCCTACCTTTCAATTCCATAGATGTATGATATCGCTATACACTCGACAAGTGAGATAATCAGCAGGGGAATACCAGAACAGTATGCTTCGATGACCTCAAACCAGTAAGGACCGGCAAACGTTACCATTGAGAAACCRAGGGTGCAAAGAACAAATGAAATAGCACCTTAAAGGGAATTCAATCGTTAGTCTAGGAATAAGAATAACGGGAGAGAAATAACACTTGAATCTTATGGTTCGGCTACCGCTCGGTTATCACTCGGGTACAACTCGGTTATCACTCGGGTACCATTCGGGTACAACTCGGGTATCACTCGGGTACAACTCGGTTATCACTCGGGTACCATTCAAGTACAACTCGGTTATCACTCGGGTACAACTCGGTTATCACTCGGGTACCATTCGGGTACAACTCGGGTGACACTCGGCTTAATATGGCTACGTTCTATGCACCTGAAATGTGTTTCTTCTTCCAACTTGGCAATATTTTCATGTCCAAAATAGGAGTGACCACACCCTCCAACATACCAAACTGGGTGTCGATACCAACGCATATTAACATCAGAAAGAACATTACCGCCCATATAGGCGCGTAAGGCATCTTGGTTATGACGTCAGTGAAGACAATGAACGCTAGGCCCGTTCCTCCACTCCACATCTATCAAAAGAGCATCGTTAGTGTCAGTGGTATAGAAGGAGTAGTTACCAGTCTATCTGACAACCCGTGACCTGGTCAGATAATAACTGAGTCACAAGGATACACTTGTGGAACTGTTCCACTTTGCAGCATTATATGACATACTTCTTCTAGGCTCGATGTCCGGGTTCAGTGCCGTTGTCAATAGCCGATACGCGAATTTCGCCCCAGTAATCAAAAACTAAAGAATCAAGACGAGGCGCCGTGCGTAAAGCTCAGTTAATTGTGAAAAACTATTGTCTTTTCATGATTGACTGATCTTCATGCACGGCGCCTCGTCTTGATTCCCTTTGCGTGTGACTTCTGTGGCAAAATTTGCCAGTCGGCGAGTATTATCTTCGTCTCAGTCATTATCATTAGCATCACTATCATCATCATCATGTAATGATACTGTACCTACCTCAAGAAACTGAGTCTTATTNGTGAAGGAGACTATTACTTTTAAAGTTGCAATAACGAAAGTAGTTGTGGCAATAGTTCTCATTATCACAAGGCTGCCATTTTGAATGGGTTTGCAATGTATACTGGGATATCAATCTCCCTGTCTTTGGCAAAACAAGTCGCTAAAATTGTAAAAATACTAAGTAGTTTCGTTGTTTCCTAAGACAAGATATGTTTGTTTTCCTTTCCGATCGATTTGGCTAGTAAATGAAAATTCTCCGCCGACGACACTGGAAGTCTTTCTTGTTGTACTTGTTGGGCGGTATTTGTCTATGATCCGTAAGCTTGTGAGATCGTCTACGGTATCCGCATTTCCCGCAATTTGTCCAAGAACTATCCCGCGGTACAGATGACGGTAGCGCTGCTATCTTAGCCCAGTTGTTTACTCACTTATCCATCCCTAAAAGCATTGCGACACAACGTCTTCCGCGTGTTGTAAAAGAACTATGGCGGTGTTTGTAAGTAAAGTTTATCTATTTATCACTTCAAAGTCCTACCTTTCAATTCCATAGATGTATGATATCGCTATACACTCGACAAGTGAGATAATCAGCAGGGGAATACCAGAACAGTATGCTTCGATGACCTCAAACCAGTAAGGACCGGCAAACGTTACCATTGAGAAACCRAGGGTGCAAAGAACAAATGAAATAGCACCTTAAAGGGAATTCAATCGTTAGTCTAGGAATAAGAATAACGGGAGAGAAATAACACTTGAATCTTATGGTTCGGCTACCGCTCGGTTATCACTCGGCTACTACTCGGTTATCATTCGGGTACCACCCGGGTATCACTCGGCTACTACTCGGGTATCACTCGGGTACAACTCGGTTATCACTCGGGTACCACCCGGGTATCACTCGGCTACTACTCGGTTATCACTCGGGTACAACTCGGTTATCACTCGGGTCAATATGGCTATACGTTCTATGCACCTGAAATATGTTTCTTCTTCCAACTTGGCAATATTTTCATGTCCAAAATAGGAGTGACCACACCCTCCAACATACCAAACTGGGTGTCGATACCAACGCATATTAACATCAGAAAGAACATTACCGCCCATATAGGCGCGTAAGGCATCTTGGTTATRACGTCAGTGAAGACAATGAACGCTAGGCCCGTTCCTCCACTCCACATCTATCAAAAGAGCATCGTTAGTGTCAGTGGTATAGAAGGAGTAGTTACCAGTCTATCTGACAACCCGTGACCTGGTCAGATAATAACTGAGTCACAAGGATACACTTGTGGAACTGTTCCACTTTGCAGCATTATATGACATACTTCTTCTAGGCTCGATGTCCGGGTTCAGTGCCGTTGTCAATAGCCGATACGCGAATTTCGCCCCAGTAATCAAAAACTAAAGAATCAAGACGAGGCGCCGTGCGTAAAGCTCAGTTAATTGTGAAAAACTATTGTCTTTTCATGATTGACTGATCTTCATGCACGGCGCCTCGTCTTGATTCCCTTTGCGTGTGACTTCTGTGGCAAAATTTGCCAGTCGGCGAGTATTATCTTCGTCTCAGTCATTATCATTAGCATCACTATCATCATCATCATGTAATGATACTGTACCTACCTCAAGAAACTGAGTCTTATTACACACTTTCAACGTTTCATTGATAATCTTCGACGCATTGATAATCACGTCGCTGTGAATCCCAAGATCAACGTCCTCCCAATCAGGCATGCCGTGATGCGAGAGACCGCTGTCATTCAATAAMCGTATTATCTGTTCGTGCTTTTCCGCAAGGCAATCGTCCATTCGATATTGCGCTTGAAAGCCAATGAARCAAAACACTACAACACTAGCGTAAATCGATACGGCGCAGTTGATGAAACACACCGTTATAGCGTCCTTTGTTGAATCGTTCTTTAATGGATTGTAACTAGAAAATGCGATWAGAGATCCGTAGCCCACCCCTAGTGAGTAGAAGATTTGTACGGCTGCGTCAAGCCATACTAATGGGTCGGTTAGACGAGCAAACTGGGAAATTAAATGAGAAAGTAGATCATTACCATTATAAATAAATTTTAATCACAATTAAAATTGAGTAAAATCATTAAAACCTTAGTGAAGTCCAAAAAAACCGTGAAATAGATCACTTACGCTAATACACCTTAGTACGCTTTAATTGCATTGTTTTCTTTTGTGTCTATTTGACTATATCACACTTTAATAGTCAAGTTTTGTTTCACAGGTTTAATTGCTTCAACTGTAAACCCGTGAAACAAAAATTGGCTATTAAAATATGATAGTCAAATAGACATGAAAGAAAACAGTGCAATTAGAATGTGTAATATTAGTGTAATATCTATTCCACTTTTTGTTATTATTGTTTTTGACTTCACGCTTTGTGTATGAAGTTTTACAAAGTCTTTGTGATAGTCTTCTTCACTGTTCCCTACGCCATCTTGAAAGGTGCCTTTGCATCGAAGCGAGACGACCGTTGAGTGTACAATGATAGAAACCTTCTGTCACACCTACAGACAATTTTTCACAGGTATCTATTATTGCACGCTCAACGGTCGTCTCGTTTCGATGCAAAGGCACGGCTATCTTTCAAGATGGCGCAGGGAACCGTGAAGAAGACTATCATTTCAATTGTTGTCTGTTTCTTACCTCAGGTACAAATAAAAGTCTGAGGCCATCTTGATAACCGTCTAAGTGAACTCCACGAAAGAAAAATATGATTAAAAGCACTAAAGGTAAGGTGGCTGTCAGGTATACAATCTGAAAGATACAACGATATAATCGTATATTACTATTTCAAAATAGTTGCCAGMGCGTAATTCTGTATGCCATAATCGCTCTCTTCAGTGAGGTCAGTGAGGTCASTATTTGGAATTGTGACATCACACGACATGACATCACAATTTCACGTGTGGAATGTAAAATGACGTCATCAGGTCAGGCGATGAGGCTATGACTGCAATAGTTGTGCAAAAATATAATTTTTTTTACACAACTGTTTCTTTAGAAACACCGACGCAGCTTACACTAGTTTACCGCTAGTTTCGAACATTATGACCTCAATAACTTTATTTGATGTCACARTGCTGCATGACGTCATAGTTATGTACGACGTCATGCAAGTCCTCCAGATAACGTTATTTTTAWCGTGTCAGACACATACCTTTCCCGTCACTCGTATGCCTTTCATCAAGCAAATCCAGATTAGTACCCAGGTCGCTACCAGGCAGCCCCATAACTTCCAGTTCATACCTCCTGTTTGTTCAATGCTACTCGTGATATTTAGCGTCGTGTGATACCAAAAATACTCGGTAGGCGTACTGACATCACACGTTTCGACCGTGTTTAATGTAGTCCAATTACCGTTAAATTTCTCTTCCATTGGACATGACGTCCACGGTAAAGGAGACTGGAACGATTGTACAAAATAAAACACGCACCAGGCGATAATCACATTATAATACAAACAAACTAGAAAGCACACCACCACAGATGCATATCCTACTCCACCCAGGTATGGAGAAATCTCATTCCACACTCCTATTGAACCTTTACGCATGCGCTGTCCGATGCAGAGTTCCATGTAGTAGAGGGGAATGCCTTCTATTGCCAACATTATCCCATAAGGTATAAGAAACGAAGCTGAAATGAAATGGTATGAAAAAATATTGTTCTCTGACGTTGTGATATATTTTTTTATAAATCAATTGAAATGATCGGCCGCCATGTTTGTMATATGTAAACTTTACACTCGAAGCGCTTTGCAAAAGAACCACAAAGATGGCCATCATGACGTCACCAATATGGCCGTCGTGACGTCACTGATATGGCATTCGTGACGTCATCAATATGGCCGTCATGACGTCACTGATATGGCAGTTGTGACGTCACCAATATGGTCGACGTGACGTTACCAACATGACAGCCGTGACGTCAACTGAAAATCTGCCATAATTCATTTTTACGCTCAACTGTTAACCATACACACAAGTCCAGAGGTTTTTCTTTCCAGACATTTTTTTATCCCTATAAACAGATTTCTGGGTTCACATGTAGCGGATTCGAATCGTATACTACCGCGCCCGCATGTATCCGATACGAATCTGCACATCTCAAAGAAAGTCAAGATAGCAAGGGAATTTCATGCTGTCATYGTATACAAGAGTATCCGAATATGAAGGTCGGCATACATATATCCGAAGACACATCCAAAACAGAAATTCCACTCTAGAGAGCGTATACAGAAATCTCTTCGAGACACTGCAGAACTTGCAGACACTAAGCGCTATCTGTATCGGAATAAAAACGTTTCCGGACAGAAATCTCTGGACTCGTGTGACGGGGTCTTATATACAGTATATACAGCCTTTTGCAAAAATTATGAGAATTTTTGAAATATCTAAATATCATAATATCGAGTGCATGATGGGTAATCCCCCGCGACGCCCTTAGTCCCTTGTCTTTGTAGTTTAGTTTTTTTTGGCGACGGACTTATCCGTAGTTCTGAACATTTTCTCGATGTCAGCAATGAATTATTCTAGCAAACCTGCGTGTTCCGGACAATATATGGATATGGATATTATGATATTTAGATATTTAGACAATTCTCATAATTTTTGCAAAAGGCTGTATAAGTAATATATATAGTATATACAGTATAAGAAAAGACATATTGTTAAAAAGATGTTTGTGCATCGTTTTTTGTCACGATGCTAGCCACCAAAATTATATGTGCATGATGTAATGCAAGCACTTGCCAAGATGTATTTTGTCAGCCAGTCTGTATATTTTCTCTACGTATTTTCTTATTGCATRTATTATAGTCTGTACAATTTTTTTTCCTGTGCAATTTAAGCTCGTCAACAATTTTTTTCATATTAAAGTTGTTTTCACTGCTAATTTACTGCGTATTTCACAAGAAAGTAAAAGTTTTGAAGTGTCAGTTGTCTAAAMATTACATCACACTATTGTAGACAGAATTCGCTAAAACTAAAKCTTACCTCCGCCATTTTTATGGCACAAATGCGGAAATCTCCAAACATTACCAAGACCAATTGTGTACCCAATCAGGGTAAGAATAAATTCAGTCCGATTTTTCCATTTATCGCGTCTTAGAGCTTGTCGAAACGGTTTCTTAGACTCATAACTTTCCTCGTCCATACTAAAACCATTTTGGCTCACAGAGCCCGACAGTTCTGTCACTTCTAATCGTGAGTCATTCGAGCCAAGAAAATTTGAATTTGAAGAGAGSCGTTGATGTGAATGGCTCGGGGGAGCGCCCGGTCTACCCGCTACTTCTACAGTTAAATGATTATGAGACACTGCCATGCCAGAGTAACCGCCGTTKAGTGGTTCACATTGCTGGTAAAACGTCAATGCGTTGAAAGACCTGAAATTAAGAAATAAAAGCTGTAGTTGTTTGACAATATTTTATAATTAAGTTCATATTATATTAAATCAGTTGTTATTAAGAAAGATTAGTGAAGCAAAGCAATGATAACTATAAGCAAATAAAATTAAAACTATATTTTGATATTGTTTTGTTGTTTTTTTTTTGTTATGTTTACACTGCGACATTTTAAACTTTTTTGTAATTTGAGTTTCGCGGATAGATTGCTTTGTGCTCTTGTTATTTTAGATATAAGTGAAGATACTAAGGTAAAAATCGCTTTCATGTTTTAATTATAAGCTTAATTGCTTGAAATCTCCTCTAAACTGAAACATTTTCATAGCGTTTTTGAAATGAATTAATCCTCTTGTAAACAAAATCGCTAAAAAAACGCATCTATGTTGAAAAGTATCGCTGTTGATGAGATCTAAAACTTCTTGAAATCCTGGATTTGCGCAAGAAAAACATGATACGTTTAAAAAAGCATAATTTTATATATATTAATCTTTGTAAAGATCTTWGAAAATTACTTTAATTGTTATAAATAAAGCTGTACCTTAACTTGTAATTGTTTTAAGTAAACAAATATGTAGAATTTTTGTAATGCTTATCAACCAAAAAGATTATTTTCTTTATAACTTTTCCAAAGCGTCATCTTTAACGTCGTAACGTACAGTATTTTATATTATAATGATATTATATCATTATAATATAAAATACTGTACGTTACGGGAACCTCTATGTTGGCACGTCTCTATATTACGAACACTTGTAAGGAAATATTCTAGCAGCCCCCGAGCTATAAGAAAAAGTATTACTTCAATTCTCAATTGACAAAAGGTTTCATTGCCAATCTACTTTGCCAAATTTGAAGTGGATACACATATCTGAGCCAGCGTTCCRAAACTCGCAGGCACTTTRGACATATTTTGTTATGAGATAATTTGATAGTTATAAAATTCCTTTAGTGAAAAGTTGTAAAAAAAACTTAACGCGGTAATTATACCGATATGCGATCCTCGATAAAAGAGTTAGCCAAACCTCAAAACATTCTTTAAAAAAAATCAATCTCCCCCCTACCGATAGGGCTTCGAAAAATGTCAAAAAAAATTGTTGATGGGGAGAACATTGGGTGGTTGCCAATATTCCCTTATTTGGCTCGGAAATTATTTTTGCATGAGTACGATTTATATAAGAAGTGTTAGAGTGATGAGTCTTTTTGGTAGATTCACCATAATTTTTTGAGAAAAAAACTGGTAAAATTATTCAGATAGATACTCTAAAAGAGCGAGTTTCGAGAAATGAGTGATATAAGAACGAGTTGCAAAATCACGAGTCATTAGAATGAGCCACAAAACCTTTTTGCCAGAAATGCTGGAGAAAATAGATTGTAAAACTATCAGATTGCATTGATACTCTAAAGCTGAAATGAGTGTTATAAGGACGAGTTGTCTTTGGAAGAGTTACGAAGCCTGTTTTTGTAACTTTTATAGGAAATCAATGGTGGAATGTAGGAGGATATTGTTAGGAAGCGAGTTGCAAATTTTCGARTCCTTCAGCTGTACTGACCCCAAATCGAGTCCTTCCAATATAAAGTATAAATCCTATCAAACTCAATAGATTTGTCAGGCCAAAGTTTTTTCCAAATATCACATGGCAGAAGCGATGTGCTTCAAATAATTTATTTTCAAAATCTTCCCATTGAAAATCGTAAAAAGATTTTTTGAAGGTTTGATATTTTGGTATCATTGATGTGCCTTGTCGAGGAGACTAGGTGGCGCCATTTAGATGACCACTAACTTGAATTTTGATAAGTCAGTTTTTTAAACGTGGACTCAAGGCCAAGGTCAAATGTGGTTGCATCGTCCTCTTACTCATACTTAAAGCTGCGTTATTTGTATTAAAAAAAATATATATTTATGAAAAAATGATTATAAATGTAACATATTTATCCAAAATGTTTTATTTTCACCTGTTGCCAAGAACAGTATTTTCTCAGCGTTTTTGACCTTTAAAGCTCTAGCTGCCGACCTGGTGTTTCTAACATAGAATTGACACACAAAAATGTTTTCTAATTATCAAATGGATGAAAATAGATAGGATCTTTTCCTATTTACAAAACATACGATTTATAATTGAACCTTATTGTTTTGTTTAGTATTTTTGCAGCGCTTGCAAAAACAAAAACAAAACAAAAAAATGCCAGTGCAAGCAGATGTCTTTGTTATTGGTTGCCTTCTTAAACTAGTCAAGCACGAGTTTTAATGTTTCTAYATGTTAAATCTATACTTTTGTAGCATTAATCGTATCTGTTAATGTTTATTATCACTTTGGAACAGGTGAGAATCGTATAAAATGTGACATACGCCCCATTAAGGCATACATAAATCATGAAATGTACCATGTTTTTTATTCACATGGGGTAGAAATATTTCCTAGCATAAATGTGTTAAACATCAAAGTCATAAAATACGTCCTTTGCGGTGCTGAATTTGACTATAACAATGGATTAGGAGAATGCTATAATATAACTATAACATCATGGACATCATTTTGAAAAAGGTTATGTTACCCGAAGAATTTGAATGCACGATCGAACGTTATTGTGGATGTTAACTATCATGGACTATCTTTTCTCATCTGCTTTAAGTAATGGTCCGAGTAAGAAGCAGGCAAGCAAACGGCAATGGAATGCATGAAGGTGCTAATTTTGTATCGTATAATCCATCCATCTCATTGGTTAAAACATAAAAATTTGACATAATTTCAAAAGTAAGCGCATTTTTTAATATTTTATTTAATATCTGATTTCGACTTCATAAAAGCTTTCCTTAGCTTTGATATTAATAGCAATTCTATGTGGGGAACATAGCAAATTAGAAGCATTTTTTGGCTATTGTTTTGAGTGCTTATGATTGGACAAGATCTTTTAATATCTTTTATTCACATTTTATTTTAAAAATCTGTTACCCATAGGTTGCTATATAATCAGTGTGAAGATCAAGACATTCGTATGTGGGGAAGTTGCAATTGCCGGCGAACAGTAGAAAGTTGCCTGCTTTTTGCGCGCATTGTTACTTAAAACGTAATCAATTCAAGCAAACCATTTGGGGATCTTCTTTTAGCCGAGACTGACTTTAATTTGGAAATATTGTTATCAATATTTTCGGTCGTGAACCTTCGAATGATTCGTAAAATACTTTTTGAAATCGCTGTATATAGCTATGTCAAAAAAGGTTGTCGGATAAAATGGCGAATGTCAATGGTCGAACGGCGATTGCACGACCTAAAGTAGCCATGGGTTTTGCCAGTTGAAAGKCTGATTTTCACTAGTGAAAATAAAATGTTATTTATCACTAGTAAAAAATAAGGCACATTCGAGGTTTCTTTATAGATTGGAAGTAAGAAAAAAGGTATTTTATGACATATTTTGCTCATTCATCTGTAATTACATGAACAGAATAGACGATTGAATATAACTATACAATAAGTTCTTCACATATATTATTAATAATTCGTTATAATATTTATTATTATTACTGTAGTTTTGTTGCAAACCTTAAATTATTGTTGGTTGTTAAATAGAGAATATTACATGGGCGCGCGGAGATACGGATTTTATCTTCGAGTGTTGAAAACGTCTCTCACGAGTGAGCGTAGCGAGATTTTCAACACAAGAAGATAAAATTCTTATCTCCTTGACCATACAATATTCTGTTAATCATATAATTACATATAAAAGCAAATTATGTYGTAAGATACTTTTTTTTCTTACTTCCAYTATATAGAGAAACCTCGAATGTACTGAAAATATAACTATTTTCACTAATAAAAATATCAACTTTACGTAATGGAGAAATAGAGGTATTTTATAGATAATTTTATGATAAACTCAAATATCACAARTGATATTCAAAGGCATGCAATAGATGTATGCCCATTGAAATCATATGTAGGCTATTCAATTGAAAAAAAAATCATACAAATAGATTAACGGAAACTTTAATCTTAACAGTTATAAAATCACGATATTGAAATATTAAAGTGATGAAAACCTTGTTCAATTTTCGCGCGCATCTAKATGTATGTAAGTAAACCGCTGAAATTAAAAATCGTAGCGAATTCGGGAAAATGTGTAATTTTTTACACGTGATTGTCGAAACCACAACGCTCGGTGTATTCTGTACTGTCAAGCTGTAGCATGGAGTAYCCGCTATCAGGGTTGACCACATGTGCGTGTGAAAAATAAACTTAATAACGTCAGTTTTTTCGAAGGCGTAGGCTATCTTCACGCTATTWTAAAAAGATATATTTGTAAATTAACTTTGTGTGGTTTTGACGAAAATTCTGACTTCTGAAGAAAGACGTGTAGAAAACAATATATTCATTTGCATATGTCAATTTATATATACTTAAGAATTTGCCAAATAGGTGAAAATTGTACATGAATACATATATGTATATTAAGCATATGGAAATTGAATTTGAATTTTCGAATTTAACTCTACTAGATGATAGCTTTAAAGGTTTCCCAGCTGGTGGTGCAAAAGCTATTTCTTTCTTAGCAAGAAAAGTATTAAAGTGAAGTAATTTGCGCCAATGAAATAAGAGGACAAATAACTGCGCAACACAGTTTGTACGAGTTGCCACTTATTAACTATAGCCGAAACTCTTAAATTTTGACACGTTTAAAGAAGTTTTAAATATGAMAAGTACATCAAGATCTTGTATGCTTTGTCAAAGCTTTTCATATGCCGAGAATGCTTATAATGTGGTTTATTTGGAAACGCAATTCACCGTGACAAATTTACCTAGAAAAATAGAATATAGTTTTCAGGGTTTTCACTGAAAACATTCAATGATTTTTATTTGAATTTCAAATCTTATATGTACTTTACTGAAAAAGTAAGCTTGTGAATTGACTACTTCAAAATTTTGTATTAAGCATAATGAAAAATAAGATAATTCAAAAAAGAGGCGTAAATTTGTTTTATCTTGCA